AGGTTCGACAAGATGGGAAAATTAAAAAWTTAAAATCGAAAAATAAAAGGAAAAAGCGCTTTGGTTAAAAATGCTTATCGAAACGTAGCGGCCCACCAAGAAAGTGACTTTCTTGCGTCTTTTTAATAGGGCCCAAGGATCTGGGCCAGAAGACACGTGTCACCTGTTGGTTGCGTCGGCGGCTACCGTCACAAGATTATTCTCCGTTTTGGCTGTAGAATTATTATTTTGGTTTAAATAATATTTCCTGTAGTTTTAAATATTTATTTCTTTTAAAATATCTATTTTATTCTCTCTGTTTTTTAAGCACGACCATTTTAATTATTATTTATAAAATTTTAACACAAATTACACTAATTATTAAAGACTTTTTAATACAAATTTATGATTATATTTAAAAAAAAAAATTAGTGAGTGAAATGTTATACTAAAATTATGATAGAAACAATTGAGATAAAAATGAAAATGAAGAAACTAAAATTGTCACTTTTTAAGAATACAAAAATCATAAGTGGCCGTTTGTTTTTCGGGAATATAGATACTCCACATCTTTAGATGTTTGAAATTTTAGATGCCATAAATTTTAGATCTTTGGTATCTTATGTTTGTTTTGTAGCAAAATTTATAAGGATGTTCATAAATATTTGGGTAACCACTTTTGTTTGGGAGGATTTATTCTTGTATTGTACTAAATTAATGTAATGTTCTAAAAATGTCCTTACTAATACATTCATATAATTTATATTTATTAATTTAGTATTTTGTTTTTTATATTAATGTTTTATTTTGTATTTATATTAATCCAGGACTTAAAAAAAAGTCATTAATATTAAACATAAATTTCATTTTAACTTTAATAATTTTTTTTCAAAGACAATTATAAACTTAATGTTATATGAGGTGAAATTTATTTATCATATTATAAAATTATATTTTTTTAAGAAGAAAAATATTAAACGTACCTTAGTCATTAAAAAAAATGTTGCTTTAAAATTATATATTTAAGATAATAAATGTTATTGATAATAATTCCTTCCAAATATTAAAAATAAGTTTGAGATACTATATAATTTAATTGAAGTTTATTCGAGAGATCTTAGCTATGGCGCTTGAGATGAGCTCCACCCAATTAATCGTGGAAACCGACCCCTTGCGTGTTTTCCACCTGATTGAAGCAAACAAGGATGATCGTTCTCAAAGCAGCTACAAGAGGTTCGATTTGTTCACTATTGTGTAATAGAGTAGCCCATGAAGCGAAAAAGGTGGCGGTAGATGACGAGCTCATCCACGTCTGGTTGGAGGATGCTCAAGATCTGTTGTTTGGTGCTCTAAGGGAGGAATTAGGGAGCCGTTCGGACAAGGGGCCATGGTTTATCTCATTTTTGTTTTTGTCCCTCTGTTTTATTTTTTAGTAAAAAAAAATTTAAAGTTTATTTTATATGTAAATGTAATATATAAATATATTTAATTGTATGAATTTGTTTATTAGTCAATGGGTATATTAATCTATTTAAATTCTAAAATTAAAAATAAATATATGAAAAACGAATGGACAAAAAATGTAAAGAGGAGATGCCTTCGATATAAGAATCGAAAACTATGTTTTAAAAGGGCATCYAAATCTACTCAAAACAAATGTGGGGATCCGTGAGAAATTTTGAATTCCCACAAAACAAACGGCTCCTAATATCGTTAGAACTATTATTATTATGCAAGATTTATGCYCTCTCTCTTTTTTCTTTTTTAGAACAATAATACGTTGGATTGAGATTTAAACCTTCCAACTTTTACTCAGAAAATATATCTTTTTAAGTGTTGACATTATTTTTCTCATGAGAAACGAGAAGATAAAAAGCAAACTGAAATTACAGTTAGCTTATTGAAAATCATGTTCCTATTTTACCCATTACTCTATAGTTATTTGGATTTGAACTAAGATATTTGATATCAATCGAGATTTTACTTTTGGCTATTTTAGTAAATTAAATTTACAATAACATAATACTTACTGAATTTATGAATATCATTTGAGAAAAAAAAATATAGAGAATAAAATTTGAAATTTCTACCAATTTCTTAGAAATTTAAAAGATTAATTAGAAAATTTCTCCTTTTAAGATCACTTTTTTCCTCTCTAAATCTCTACGAACCCGGTAAATATTATGCCATATAAATTTCTCCAGTTGTTCCTTTTTTTTAAATTATTATTTATAGCAAATACTATAAGAAATTAACTCAATTATTTTCTAAAGAGTAATCTATTTTTTTAATACGATATATAGGGGTTGAACTCACTACCTCTCGATTAGAGATATATGTCAATTACCACTGAACTGTGCTCGTTTTGACTTCTAAAAATTAATCTAAAAGAATGGTTGGATGAGACAAACTTAAGATATACAAAAGCCTGAGTAAATTAATAATTAATAATTATATCATAAGTCTAAGAAATATTTTTAATTAATAAATTTAGATTAATCTACTCCAAATTCAAATTAATTTTTGCTGAGAAAATGAATAAACCCAATCCAAAACCATTTAGACTAGATTGGGTGGTGATGGTATGAAAAAGATATGCCAACAATTTAATTAATTGTTTTTTAATTAGCCATTTTGAACAATTTCTTATAACAATCAAGAAGTTGAAAATTTAATTAGCCATTTTGAATGGTCTCCATGTTTGGTAGATTTACTAATTTAATTTGTTTACATTTTGCTTGAATTTGAAAATTTCTCAAACATTGAATATTATTGAATATATTTCTATTTTTGACCATTTCCTTATTTTGTTTTCAATATTTTGCTTTACTTTTTAGAGTTTGAACATTTCTAGAAAATTATTTTCATGATGTTTGCATTCCCATACTTCCACTATCTCCATAGTTCTTTATTTGATTTTTTTTTTCTTTGTGGATATGAATTATATTTTAAAAATTAATTTTAATTGATATATTTTTCTGTCTAATTTTGACATAATTTTTTCCACCCCACATTTCTTTTAATTGTTTTTTTATTTGGTGGAATGTCTACTTACGTTATTTCATTTATGTTACAATTTTGGTGTAGTACTTTTTATGTGAAATTTGAATGTATTTCTTTTATTTCTTTTTTATTGTTTCAAAATTTTAGTATACTTTAATGTTACAGTTCAAATTTTTTCAAAGGAAATATCAGTTTTACCCTTATACTTGCTTAATGAGTCAATTTAAACCTTAAATCTTTGTATTTAATCCAATTGAGACACAAATCTAAAAAAAGAAAAAAATATTAAAAATTTAAATCATATTTAATAACTATTTTGTTTTTTCATTTTCTATTTCTTAAAATTACGTTTGATTTATCACAACGAAAGTAATTTCTTTGGTATCTTTTCCTATTCCTTTAAAAATACATTTGAATTCAAACCCAAATTTCAAAATCAAAAACAGATTTTTTAAAAACTATATTTCTAGTTCTTATAATGGCTTAAATTTTAAGAACGTTTTTAAAAATTAGATTAAAAAAAAAACTCACATGGAAGTAGTGTTGTTAAGCTTAATTTTAAAAATAGAAAATTAAATTCCTCAAAAAAGAAAATTAAAAACGAAATGATTTCATTTGACTGGTAGATTCAAATTAAGGTTTAATTTAATAAAACTAAAATTTTGAAAGTTAAAATAGACTCATTAAACAAAAGTCCAAGGAAAAAAAAAAAAGAAAAAAGAAGAAGAAGAAGAATTTTCCTTTAAAAAGAAAAAGAAAATCTTAATGCTTCATACTTTTCTGTCTTTTTTAGTATATATGTTATTAAAGTTTCAACAAACACTGAATTATCATATCATTTTAAACTATATTGGATAGACACATATATTGTCAATTTATATACTTTATAAGTTTATTCAAAATGGGTATATATTCATGTTCATATGTTGTATAAATAGTTAAGAAATTAGTCGTACAAAGAATGTTGAATTTGTGTGGTGGAATGACAAAGCATGTTGAATAATATTTTAATTATATGGTGGAAATATTGATGCATCCATGACGACAAATTATAAATTAATCAAGATTTTGATTAACCAATTGAATATTATAGCTAATTATAACAAGTTTGAATTATTTGTGAATATGGGAATATGAAATTTCATCGAAAAGATGGCAATGGCCAAAGAAAAAGATGTAAGTACATAGTAGAGTGTCACGTGTAGGGTTTTTTTTTTCTTCTTCGTGAGTGTTTGGGCCGATTTGCATGCACTTTGACTAATTTCGTGAGGTAGCTGCTTGATCCTACAACATTTGGTGCCGAGAAATACATCTAATGTTGATTACTACCATGAAAAATTTCATCAAAATCAAGGGTCGATTTTTATTATATAACGATTTAATATTTGTAAACACATTTAGTTCTTTTTCAGTTTATCAATCTACCTATAAAAGAAACTTTATTAAATCTTAACAATATTTTTCACGACATGAACTTATGGTGATGGAGAATTATCAATTTTGTAGCTTGGAATATAGAACCTTGATCCTTAGATTCGGTTCCAAAATCCCAAATTACACAAGCCTAATCAATGAGCCGAACACCTCAATTCATGTCAAAAATAAAAATAAATAAATTTGAGTGAAAATAAATCATGTTTTCTCCTAAACTGGTTAAAGTGAATTTTTACTCTAAACTTTCAATTTCATCGATTGGACCTAGACTCGGATAATTGTTGAAATTTGTACTTTCTAATCAATTTTTGGTAATTCAGCCAAAAGATAAAATCTTCAAAACCTCACTCACTTCTAGATAAATCCACTAATCGACTATTCAATAACTCCACCAAAACTCAAATTTCAACCAAAAAAATATTGAGAATTGTTTTTAATGATCATTCGAATGAAAATTTATTGAAGGTAAAAATTGCAACAAGTAATCTAGTTTAAAGTTAAAAATACAACCCCACTCGATCAAATTTCGAGTAGATGTCAAGATCCAACTTGGACTAGGTCATTGACGTAGGACATTGTGCACATTCAAGCTTGAACATGCTATGTTAAGCATGATATGAATTGTATTTCTGGCAAAGCATATGCTACTAGGACAAGTATAATGTATTGCTTAATGGTAAAGATGATAAACAATTCAAATGTCACACCTAGTCCTCTGTTGAGAACATAACATTTAAAAAGTTCCTCTAACCTAGTCATTGCTGCATAGCTCAAGTTGCAGCAGCACGCTATCGGACGTTCAACGGACAGTTTCACAATCGGGGCATGAGCGTCCGTAGTAGCTGTAGCCATTGAAGCCAAGTGCTTAAGAGGAAGACTTCATGTAATATGGCTGCTTTGCAGCTGATTTCAATGATTTGGACTCTAGAGAATTGGCACAACAATCCATTCCCAGTCAGTATGCACATAAAAGTAGCATAAACTTTAAGCAGGATTGCATGATTCCTCGTTTGAGAAAGCAATTCCAGTTTTCAAGCGCAAACTTCAGAAGAATACCGATTTTTCATGTTCAAGAAATATGAGAGAAAAACTCCTCCAGATCATTTGCGACCGCTCCAAGTTTTCGGGACAAAACTGCATCTTTCACATCGATATTGTTATTTGTAGGTACATCCGCCGCGTTGATTTCCATATACTCATACAGGTTGTGAATGGTTCCATCTAACCAGGCCAATACATGAGCAAAAAATTGACATAAGATTATCAAATATCAACCTTGTGTTCAATTATTTCATTTTATTACATTTAAGTTTCAAGTATTTAAAAAGGATTCCAAAATATAAACTAAAATTGATGAACCAAAAGGTACGCCTTGAAGAAAAGCTGTTTCTAACTTGTGTGCTTTCTTAGGTCATAAATCCACACTTCAAGATCTTTTTGTACATATTTCTCGCACTGCTCTCACTAAGACACTTTTCCCAAAATTTTCTCTAACACATGTTCTTTTCCCCCAACCCACTAGTACGCCAAAACATGCTCTGTTTCATCACTATGTTATACAGTTTTTTCAACAATAATTTCTGTCTACATATCGTTTTCTTTAGTCATCATTATCTCATTATCTTATTTCCAAACATTGAACAAAAGAATAGGAATCAGAAAACGAATTGTCATACTTCTGCATTTTAAAAATTTAGTTAAGAATTAAAAATTTTCTGTAAGAATGGTGAAAAACATACCAAAAAAATTGAGAAGTAGACATAATTTGAAAAAACAGAAAAGTAAAAAACAAAATCATTATTGAACAGGGCAAACCCGCACCTTTTTCACTCAAGTGACTCCTCCACCTCTATGCCACTCGCTCAAGCTCGCAGACAAGTGCCCATGTTTACTAAAACGTGTGTTTTACAGTTTGTAACCTCTCTTTAAGAAGTTGATTGAGCATTCTTAGGGCTCTTTATGATGGTTCCTACCCCTCTTAAAGATAAGTAGTTCTTTTTATGTCATAGAGCTCCATCGTGTGTTAGACTTCATTTGTACATTTGTCATGTCAGTAGACATCCCACATATTGGACCTCATACAATAGTTTTTGCATCAGGGTAGCAATCGATAAGTTAAACGACCACTTGTACAGTTTATTAGTTGGCTACAATCAGCATGTAAATTAATAGTAAGCTTTATTTTTTCAGGATTAGAACTCCTGCCTAGGATTCTGATAGGGAAGGCAAGTCTCCATTCTGATTCACTTAAGCTATGAGGAATAGATGGAAATATAGAGAAGGGGTAAGGTTGTTACAACAGTGGCCATGTACAGTGTTTACACGAAGAAAGGGATAGGTCAATTTGTAGGTGGGGAGGTATTTGTATATTGCTCAATAGTCAAAAGTGATATAGCAAATTTGAACCGTGAGCAGACAACTTAGCCTAAGTTGTTCTTTCGACGATGAATGCTTGACAATATAGTACAAGAAGCAGGGGTTCCATTCTTATTTGGTCTAACCAATTCCTATAGATTGGTGAAGCATCTCATTAACACTAAGTTGGTTATGAATATACCCAGTAATCTTCATGTCTCCTTTTGATGTTCTCGAGATGTTAATAATAAGGATATGTTAAGCAACTTGAAATTTTACTTTAGGAGTTGGTATTTACCTTCGGCAACAATGGCTTCATAGTCGGGGGGTTTAGCAATCCATTTCCCATTGGAATCTTTCATGTGTCTTCTATCAGAGGCAAAGTGACGAAAAAATATTGGAGCATGGATGATCCTGAAAAGCCTGTCCCCAGCAAAAATTCAGATGGTAGAGCATGTTAGCTACGTATAGTATTTTACTTGTAAAAGAATCCAAAGCAAAAAACATTATACTTGGCAACAGTGCCCATGATATGACGCGAAAAGTGACAAATTTATCGATCTCACTGCATTTAAGGACTCAAGCAACGAATGGAAGTATGCATTAGAAAAAGTGAGTTGCGGCAGACAAGGCTTTACCTTTGATACTCAGGGGAGAGCTGAAATGATGGTCTGATAGCTTGTGACACATAGCTGCCCAGAGGGAGAGGTAAAGGAAGATTTGAGTCTAAATCCCACACTAAAAACGGAAAATCACCTTCTCTCTTTCTCTGTCAATTGAAATGAACTCAACATCTCAAAAGTAAAACATAATAAAATCTTGCAGCAATGATCAAAACAAAAGTTCTAATGCAACTCGTTGGGTAATTATGACTCAAACAACTGATGTTAAAGTAGGATAGACTGTTACCTGAATGCAAATGACATGGTAATCCCACAAAACAAGACCATCTGCTCTGTTGCTAGCCTTTTGATGCCAAAGGGGAATCTAAACAATTTTTTTGGGGGGAGAAGTTAGACAAAAATAAGTGATTGTGTACTCTACTTGCTAAAGGAATTAGATCAACAAAAATGATGAGGTTCAAAATGTCTTCCACCATCTTGTAACATCCTAGACAGTTCTCCCATTTCTTTCTAACCCAGCTTCCAATAGAAGAGATCGAAGAGCATTTCTCGGGAATCTTCGCACGATTACTGAACTTAATGCCAACAATGGCTAAAACAGACACTTTTGAATAGTAATAAGAATGGCACAGAGTCATTTAGCAGAACTTATTCATCCTTAGAATGGCCAAATTACCAGACAAATTACAACATACGTACCTGCTTCTTTTCATTAGAAATGAAAACAACAAAAAGATCAGCTCCCGCAGCATCGGCCATTCTGCTTGCACATAATTCCTTGCATAGAAAGTATACATTCTCCTCACTGCAAAATTGAAGACAGAAAACACTTAAAAACTGGCAAGCACAAACTACACTTCCTCTTCTTGGTACAAATCGCCATCTGGGGTCAAAAGCCTAAAATTGATCACACGACAAATTTCTCTTCAGCATTGTAGAAACTAGAAACACCAATTCAAGATTTCCAGTGCAGCTCAAATATTGTCAAGGCTATCAACTGAATTAGTTTATTGTAATTAACCAGGCTGAAGTCCAAAGTTCCATAAGAATTACACTATCAAAAGGGTATCATAAGAAAAAWTGGTAAAAATTTCTAGTCTCCTCCTYTTCGTTGCATCTTTTTCCGTGGAACATGGGCAATTTTAGCAGCATATATCGTTTCAAAAAACCTCAAGAGGATATCCAAAAAACCATGTTAACAACAAAGAAACAATGTGAAAATATAGAATAATTTACAGGCGGCAGTGAATCTTACCAGTAATAAGGCGTATGACGGAACTGAGAAACGCCCAAAACACTCGATTCTACAGTTGACGTCGTCGTAGCCATGGCTGAAGGAAATTGCAAGTTCCGGATAAATCAGTTCCCGGATAAATCTATATGATGCAGTTGATTAACAAGTTAGGCCATGTTTACTTCAAGGAACTAGAATCGAAGAATAGTGTTTATCTAATTGTACGAATGAAATTAAARGGTGAGATCCATRATCACATTCTTCTCCTACACCCTCGTCAATGCCATTTTCATTTCTTATTTTTTGAACCCACTTATTTATTGCATTACTTTATTACCTTTACAATTTCTCTATCTTTATTAAYGAGATYCGTAACTTTTTTAATTATTTATTTTATAAATTATTTATTTTTCATTTTTACTACTAATATTTGTTTCTTCTAATAAAAAATTATACAACTTTTATTTTTTTTATGGGTGAATATGATTTTATCAAAAAATATTATAAATTTATACTTAATTCTTAATTTCTTGATTTTCTAAAATAGAATTTATTATTATTAAATATTAGAATAATAATATTTTATATTAAATGATAGTTGTTCTAATAAAAAAGTATTTTAGTTGATGTAATTTTATTTTAATTATTCATTATTATTAATATTAAATAAATTGTTGTAATAAAAAATATTTACTATCAATCAAAATAATAAAATAAATTAAAAATTATTATTATTGTAATTAAAAAAAGTTATCACRATAATGTATTTACAATTAGCTGAAAAAGAAAGAGGAGTATAATATATCTGATTATGATTCCAATTTTAATAGTTTTAGTAAACAACATAAAAGAAATTATGATTCCGATTCCATAAAAGTTTTGGTAAACAATATGAAAGGAATAACATTCACATTTCGATTGACTTTCGTTTCGGTTCATTCCTATTCAACCAGGACCTCAGTGTCTATTAAATGATTTGAATTAGTCAAATGGTTTAAAACACCTATTTTCAATCTATTCATTAATCTTTCACATTTTCTGTGATCAATCTCTATTTTAAATATTTGGGAATCTTCCGACGAAATGTTCTTGTTATGTTAATGCTATAATATTTTTTTTGGTAATTTTCATTTCTTCATATGCTACGGTAAGTCAATCAGCTACTTTCTTAGTTCCAGCGGAGGCGGCTGCAAAATCAACTATTTAGGTTAGCCATGTTTGTTATTACTTTGGTTAAAACAAAATTCACCAAAGAGACTAAATCTTTGCATAATAAAAATTGACACTTGATTTTGATAAGATTTTTCACGRTAGGATTAAATTATTATATGTTAAAGTTTAGGGATTAAATTATTACCAATTTAAAAGTACATATACTAAATCATTACAAACTTTGTAGCCTATTTTGATAACAATTTAGTTTTTTTTTAGTACTGAGGTGAAAAATCAAACTCACGACCTCTTGGGTGGAGATATATATACCAATTATGCTGAGGTAGRCTTGTTTTGACAACAATTTARTTCTTGAAATACTACAATTTAGTAATTATAATCTAAAATTTATAACAATTTAGCCTCAAAATCTTATCAAAATTAAGTGTCGATTTCCATCCTATAAAAATATAGTCTTTGTAATTTATAACCACATTCAATTCTTAATTGATTTATCAATCTACATATATAAGAAACTTAACAAAAGTTTTCACGATCAGGACTTAATCGTTACAAACTTTAAGCTACAAGGACTAAATTTTTACACATAACTAAAATTCAAGAACTAAATTATTACCAATTTGAGAGTATAGGGACTAAAACATTATATCACTTCAATAAAAGTATCGAGACCAAAAATGTTTTTTAACTCATAATTTACTATCTATCACTAATAGGATCTACCACATGTCTATCAAAAGTATCGATTGTAGGTTGATTTTTTTTTCGAACAAACTATACGGGTCCACCTTGCCCAAGTCCATTCCCACCAATTAAATGCTCTCAAACCAAAAGGGGTCCTCAGGGACCATTTTTGCACACATTGGGGTCATATTTTAAGGTGCCTCGAGTCTTTTGGAGCAACTATGTCCACATTATCATAGTGCATTTGCTCTAGCATTCAACATCATGCTTTTTTAATGACCAACTCTAATAATACATCCCTACAATAAAATATGGTTTAAATAAATTCAATTATTGTCAAGGCTTTCTAGAAAATAAGAGATATGAGTGAGAAAGCTTCTTAAGCACGGTACTTAAACGCATATGTTCAAAGTAAAATAAATACAGTCTCCGATAACGGTGTCAAAAACTTGTTGATTGCTCACACACACACAATCACGTTAAATCAAGTGTAAGTGTATACTATAATTGTCGATTGTAGCATTCACAAGGTCGAAATCCACAAGGACTAAGTAAAATGCTTCAAATTATGCTTAAGAATACCAATTGTACCAAACTAGTAATAATCTGAAGTGTCTAAGCGAGCATAACTCAGCAGTAAAAGGTTGTGGGTTCGATCCCCACCCTCACATGTTGTACTACAATAATAATAATAATAATATGAGGTACTAACTACATAATGACAAGGAGAAAAAACACACACAAGTAGAAGCGAGGATGACTAAAACGCTAGAAATAAGATATGTTGTGACACAAAATACGATGGCTAAATGGAAAACACTAATAATAAAATGGAAACGAGACTAACATACTCTCAGACGTTTTAGAAATAAGTCGGGAGTGGTTAACTTCTCCCAACGTTTTAAAAAATGTCAAGAGGAGAGCGCCTTGCTCGCTCAACGTTTGTACAAAGTGTTGGGAGAAGAGCAGCAAAGTTGCTACCTCTTCTCCCGACGTTCTTGTAAAAACGGCGGGAATTAGGATTTATCAAAACAATAACGAATTTGTCATTATTTTGTATGTTTATCTCAGAGATGAATTTTGATTTATGGTTTAAAATTTGAACTTACTGCCTATAAAGTCTAAATTATTCACTTTTAATGAAAAAATAACCTTTTAAAAATTTTTAGTTTAAAAAAAAAGAAAAATAACAAACATATACATAAAAAAAGCCACAAGCAAAAGTCTATAATATATATAATTTAATCAAAATTGAAAGGCACGTGCCCCTAGCCTTAATTAATTTACTCCTACATTAACTAGTATGAATATAGCTCAACTTGTAAATGCATTTATCTACAACCATAAGGTCGTGTGTTCGAATCTCATTCTCCACGTGTTGTACTAAAAAAAACTACCCCTAAATTATAATGCGATTCTTTTTTCTTTCAACATCTTTTCTATAATCAAAACTTTGTTCGAGATTGAGATCAAAAGATTAAAGTACCTATCTCCGATCAAAAGATCCCCTAATTTTATATGTTGTTGTATTAAAAAAAAAAGAAAAAAATTGTTCGAAACTCTTATACTAAATCTTGGTTGAGTTGTAAACGAGTGTACTTGTTGCTTTTAGTTTTGTTCTTGTTGGTCACTACTTTTTAGTTTTACAATTTGTTGTGCTCACATTTGGAAAGTATCTAAGCTTTGAACTTATGAAAGACTTGATATTAAGAGGTAATTTGATTTTGTGTCAAGATTAAGCATGCGCCTATTCGTTTCATTTTCTAACAACAATCATCGATGAATGTTAAAAGTTTTTTAAGTTGTTGGAGGTTAAAATACGACCTGCTACGAGGAGAGTAGAAAGAAATTTACATAATGTGACTTTCCTATTCATCTCAAAAGTTCCTAGTAGTAGACGAATCGARTTCGACAGGTACAAAATAGATCGGTCCAACCAAAGATAGCCTTAAAAAGGTTAGACGCCAAAGTTGCCAAGCCCAACCATCTATAACCGTACAACACACTTCTGAAACAGCCTAAGAGAATTGGTATGCGAACCCCACTTCATTTCACCCAATAAATAGGAGCATCATTTTGTACCCAAGTATGTGATCTGATCCCTCCTCTTGAGAGTGTAGTATATGCTGGATTCTTACTGACTCGAGCGTCGAAGTGTTCGTTCTCTTTGTGCAAGTCATATCCCACATAGCTTGTTCCGAATAGCTTGACTATATCTACTTTATATGTTTTCCCAGGACAATCCGAAATTCTGCATACACAAAAGTGAAGAAGCATCTTTATTATTATTATTATTATTATTATTATTATCATCATTATTATCATTTTGAATACAACAAATGTGGGGATGAAGAATTGAACTTCCGACCTTTAAAGAAGTATAACAAGATGCCTTAACCATTGAGCTAAGCTCATGTCAACTATTATTATGTTTTTTAGTAAAACAAATATAAGGTGTGAGAATTTGAATCTCAAACTTCATAGTGAAGAAGAAGTAAGATGTATSCGTCTTAATCATCGAATAATGTTCAAATAAACAGTGACAAAATTTTGAAAAAGTCAAGTTTTCCGTCGAAAAGCTCAAACTTCCATTACTAAATTCCCACCCGCCAAAGGGATCATACTCCCTAAAACTAGGGAGATTCCTAGAACCAAAGTTAATTAAAGGATCAAGTAACCTAAAATAATAAATTATAATTCAATGTAGGTCAAAGGAGTTTCCAATAAACTATTAACTAGAGATAATGAAATAATACACAACATATGATCTTGAGTTTGTGTGAGGGAGTGGATTCATTTTTTTCTTTTAATTTAAATTTCCTCAATCACTCCTTTAATGTTTCTTTCCATCACATTACTCATTAAATTTGTACATATATAAAATTGGTCCAAGTGATTAATTTGTAAAATCTAAAAGATAACATTTAATTGATCTTAATTTATTTTCCCATCATTATTTATTTATTTCTTCACAAACAAACATAAAATTGATGTCATTAAAATATTATTTCTAGAGTAGGGGGGGGGGTGCTATTTAAAATAATAACTGTTAAATGGTAAAATTTGGAGGAAAAAGTAAAAAAAAAAAGTAAAAAAATGCATTATTTACATTGAGAATAATAATTAAATTTGCCATAGCTCAACAGCTCAACAACTTATAAAATGATCTTTCTCCCTCCTTAATTTTAGTTCTTACAAGTGGAGAGATTATTTAAGGTCTATACATCTCTAGAGTTCAGTAAAGATGACCAATATGAACATAGTTCGGTGGGTTAAGACATTTATGTTTGACTAGAAGATCGTGAGTTTGAATTCTCTCATCTCAATGTACTAAAAAAAATCAATAAAGATAAAGTTTTTTTAACGTCACAAACAATGCCTGATTTAATATCTCTAAATCATGAGTATAACTCAACGGTAATTGACAT